TCCTCCTCCAGCTCGCCCAGCAACGAGAACCCGGCCGCCAACTCCTGAGCCCCCCGCCCCGCCCGAGCACGGGACCCCGCCCGCACCAGGCCCTGCGGGGCGGCGGGGGGGGGGGGCGCCGCGAGCTGGAGGAGGAGGGGGGCCCCCCCCCCGCGGCGGGCAGAGACTCGGACGACCGCTGCCTCCCGCTGCCTCCCGCTGCCTCCGGGCTAGAGCAAGCTCCGCCCTCCCCACGGCGTCTGGCGGGGGGCCTGGGCGCACGGCGCCCCCGGGGCGTCCCCGGCTCCCCCACCCGTTTGTCTCTAACCTCACCCTCCACACAGTCAACGGCGGAAAGGTTTTTATAATTTTAAATTATTACTGCTTTGAAATAAATGGACGTTTTAGCTCACACGCGGCCCTGCATGATCTGTGGAAAGACCGGGTGGAGCCGCTAGGCCGGGGTCTCCGCGACGCCTGGACGGGCCACCAGCCCCCGACCCAAGCGCAGGGGGCTCGGGACCACAGGATGACCAGCAAAACAAGAACAAAACTGCTCCGACAGACGTTTTTTAAAGGAAAAAATATGTGTATCTTGAAAGCTATTTAAAAATACACCTACTTAGAAAGAGAAGCAGGTGGTTGGCGTTTTCCTTCCGCGCGGGCGCTGGGGGCGGGCCGAGCTGTGCGGCCGGCCGCGAGGTCGGGCTCCTTGGGCCTTAGCCAGCTCCGCGGCCGCAGACCCGACCCGGGAGCGCGCCGGCAGCCCCCGCCGCCCGAAGACGCCGGAGCTTCCCCGAGCGTGAAGACCGCAGCCGCCGGAAAAGCCCTGTCCGCGGGGCCGCTGACCGCGCATGTTTGCGTGGCTATGGGGACCAGCTGCCTCCACCGACCGCAGTGAGCGCCCTCCGTCTGCTCGCTCCCTGCCTTCATCCTCTGTATTTTAGTGGGAGGGGGCTGCGGGGAGGGGTGGGAGCCCGCGCGCCGCCCCAGGGACTGTCGCCCGCCCCACGCAGAATGTCCCACCTCGCCCGGAGTGGGACACCTGAGCAGAACTGCCGGGTCCAGTTCGGCTGGGGTTTGAACGGGGCTCTGCACCCCTTTTCCTTCCGCTGGGGCTCAGCCTCGCGGTGAGGGCTCGGGCGCTGGGAGTGCGGCAGCCACGGCCGCCCCGGGTCCCACCGAGCCCCTGGAGGATGCTGGCACGGGGCCCCCGTGGCCTGCACGTGGCACCCACTCCCACTCCCAGCCCTGCCCGCCCCACGGGAGTGCAGGAACTCTGACCGCGGTTGCAGTGCAAGCAGCTTCAGACCCCCCCGCGCGCATGCGCGCGCCTCTGTGTTTGCTCTAAGGCCGCTGTGGCCACCACACACCGATTCTCTGACAGTTCTGGGCTCAGAAATACAGAATGGAAGGCTGGTGTCCCCTCCTCCCCCCGGGGCCCCCGGGAGACCCGGCTCCGGCCTTTCCCCGGCCCGCGGCCCCCCTCCATCCTCACCGCCAGCCGCACAGGGCCTGCCCATCTCTGGGACTCCCACCCTCTGCCTCCCCCTTGTAAGGGCCTCGTGAGGACGCCCCCCCCCCCCGGGAACCCAGGGTCACCCCCTCCTCGGGGGCCCTGACAAGGTCGCCTCTGCCGCGTGAGGGGACACGTCCCAGGTCCCGGGACCAGGACGGGGACCGGTGACCCCGTGGCATGTCCATGTCTCCCTCTCCCCCAGCCCTCAGACCTCACTCTGCCCCAGCCTCTCCCACCTCCTCCCTGCCTCAAACACCCCAATGGGCTCCCACCTCAGAGCCTTTGCCTAGGCCATGTCCCAGCCCTTTGGTGACTACATGGCCATGTCCTTCAGGCTCCATCCCCGGGGGGGGGGGGCCTTCCTGGGGCCTCCGTGCCCCACCCCCCACTTGGGACTGGACACCTGTGGCCTCTGCTCAACTCAGTGTCCACCTCCCCTCCGACTCAGGAGCTCCCTGGGGGTCAGGCCGTGTCTGGGGGGTCTTGCAGCAGCACCCGCAGCCCGCCACACAGCAGACACTCCAGGAACGCTTGGGGAAAAGACGAGGGACCAGACATGCTTGGCCACGGCCTGAGCTCGCCGGCCCCCGGCCCTGGACATGCCGCTCAGGCATGCTGCGGACCTGGGGACTTCAGGAGACCAGGACAGGCAGGAAGTGGGTGGACAGGTGGTGCCGCTGTGTCCGGCCCCCACGCCGCGGGGCCCCCTGCCCATCCAGCGCCAGGAACATGGGCCGACCACGGTGGCGCCAGCGGATGGAGGCGTAAGTGTTGTAGCCGTTCTCCTCGATGCGCTCCTGGAACCTGCAGTGGGCAGTGTAGACCCGCTTCGGGGGGGTTGGGTGTGTGAGGTGGGTCACCGGACACCCCACCCCCCACCAGACACCCGCCCACCGGAAGCCCCACGAGCTGCACTCACCGACCCGTAGAGGTGGCCCCCGCGGTTCATGGCCACGTAGAAGCCCGTGTGCACAGCCTTGAGGACCACGACGCCCACGCGGATGGAGCGGATCTCAATGATGCCTGGGGGTGGGGGGGTGGGGTGGGGTTGAGTTAGGGCCTGCAGCCCACCATCCGCTCCCTGCTTCCTCTTGCTCGTTCATGCAGGTAACACTCAGCAAGCGCTTACTGTGTGCTTGGCCCTGGCTTGTGCCCTGACACTGGGGAGCACAGAGGCCCTGCCAGGAGCACTCCAAGGATGGGGGGTGATGGAGGGGCAGGAAGGACTCTCAAGCCAGTGCGAAGACCTGAGGCAGGACGGGCCCTGCCAGGTGGGAAGACGTCAGCCCGGGGGGGCCGGCCTCTTGGGCCCTGAGGAGCCCCAGCCGGGTTGGAAGCTCAGAACAGGGAGGTCCCTGGCGGGTGAAGGTTAAGAAAACCAAGGCAGAGGAGGCGGGGACTGCCTGGGCACACCTGAGGCGGAACAGGTGTAGACCCCTAGCAGCAGCCACACAGGCGGTGCTCCGGCCTCCCGCCCTGGCCATCGAGGTGACGGTGACGGGAGCTCCGGATGGGAGGCGTGGCAGGAGGCGGTGGGACTGGGCGGGGGGGCCGCACGGTGTGCTCAGCTCCATGATAGTCACCACTGCTGCTGGAGCCCCAACCATAGGCCAAGCACTGTACCCCACAACCCCAGGTGGGAGGTGCCGACTGGGCCTACTTCTCAGAGAGGGAAACTGAGGCCCAGGAAGTGGCAGATGGGTAACCCCAGAGGAGCCTTGCCCCACTCTGAGCAGTCCAGCGAGGCGGACCCAGAGGATGAGCAGCTGCCCACACCCTCGACCCACCCATGTACCAGGGCCTATTCTGGAGGCCAGGCCTTGCCCTCTGGTCTTCAGTCTGGACTTGGATGCCTGAGGTGATGGGGAGCTCACCCCATGTCACATGGGACCTCTGTACCTGCTATCTCCACTATCAGGCACCCAGGTCCTTCTCTCTACATGAGAGTCAACTCGAGCCCACCTCCTTGGAGAGGCCCCAGACCTCTCTGGTAAAGCTGCCTCCCCCCAGTCATCTTCCTGTACATCACCCTGTTTTCATTTTCTTTGCACCCTACATGGTCTCCTGTGAAATTACCAAATTAGCTGTTCACTTGTTTAACTGCTTTACCCTCTGCTGTGGGAGCCCCATGAAGGTGGGCTGTCCAGGTCACTGCTATGTCCCCTGTGCCCACTACAGCATACAATAGGTACCCAATTAATAACTACAGAATTAATGGAGAGACGAGTTCCAAGCGCCTCTCCCCCATACAGAGCCATCAACCATGTCACCACCATTGCTGCCCAGATGGGGAAACTGAGGCTCAGAGAGAAGCAGCGACTGTCCCAAACCACCCAGAAGATCCAGCCTGAAGACACCCTGCCTGTGCCCACCACCAATGGACTGGCCCAGCCAGTCCCCTTGTCATCGTCCTTGTCCGGTGAGCCTAATGAGAGCCTTGGGAGCCCGATGAAAGCAGCTGGAAGGGCAGGGGGTGATTATCTGCCCTAATGGCAGTGATTCAGGCAGTGGCCAGTGATTAGCTATCCCCCCAGCCCAGGCCTCAGAGCCCTGAGCAGACCAAGACAGGTCTGCAGGGTCACTGAGGCTCCAGGTCCCCAGTGATCCCCAGGTTCCTCCTCCTCTTTTGCCCCCATGTCTCCTCTCGCCTCAGACGTTCCACACTTATTGAGTGCCTACTGTCTGCTGGGCAGGGCATCAAGGACAGTGACTCCAACCTGACGAGGTTCTGGGCATTAAGGAGCCCCGGCAACACCCCCACCTGCACCCCAGCAGTGGGACCCTGGGCAGGTCATTTCCCCTCTCTGTGCCTTATCTACCAAAAGGATGTGTGGGAAGAAAGAGAGGGGTCCCTCACTCGGGCGGGTTCTGGGTTTGGACTTGCAGTGTGGGGAGTCCAGGGTTCAGACGCTAGCTCTGCTTCCACTCCCTTATGTAGCTGGGTCCTGGGGTCGCCTCCTCCCCGCTGTCAGGGGACCCAGTGAACTCAGCTTCTCGACCCCTCAGCTATTCTGCAAAGACCTTTCTCCGCTGCGGAGCCAGGCCAGCGCGGGGAGCTTCCTCTGGGACCCCTACCTCGCCTGTGCAACCCTCCCAGCGCGTGCGCTGGACCCACTTCACGGTTGAGGAAACTGAGGCCCCCGCCGGGGAGTGACTTGGCTTGACACCACACACCCTCACGGGACAGAGGACCTGGCTCGTCCTTACTCCTGACGCCGACCCTGTCCTTCCTGCCGGCCTGTCTACCCCGCACCCCCTCCCCGAACTCACTGTCGGCGCCGTGGCGCCAGCGGGTGCCCTGCACGCGGCCGCCGGGGTCCACGCGCAGGAAGAAGTGGGTGGAGGACAGGAGGCGCCGCCAGCGCACGTCGCCCTCCAGGTGTGGGTAGCTGCGCGGTCTCCGCGGACTGCTTGGGGTCCCCGCGGCGCCGGGCGCCCGTGCCAGCAGCAGCCACGCCAGGCCCAGCCACAGGCGGCCGCGCATGGCCCCGCGCCCGGCTCGCCGCCCGCTCTTGCCTCCCCCCGCGCGTCCGCGGCTCGGCCATCGCCGGGGCGGGGGCGGGGCCTTAGCCACAGGGGGCGGGGCCTGGGGAGAGGGCGGGGCCAGGGGCAAGGAGCCGACCAGTGGGGCGCTTCGGGGGCGGGGCCAGAGCCGCGGGGGGGCGGGGCAACGAGGCGACCGGGGCGGGGCCCATTTGGGAAAACTCTCCTGCCTCCGTGCGTGTTTGTCTTGCGGGGTGGGGAGTGCGTGTCCGTGAGTCACCGGCTTAGCCTGCAGGGGCTGCGGGGGCGTGGGTGTGAGAGAGGCGGGCCCGCAGAGACACGGAGGGAGACAGAGACAGAGAGACTTCCGAGACTGGGACACGGACAGCAACAGGGAGAGACACAGGGAAAGGCGGCTAAGAGAGTCCGACCTGTGACAGACAGTGAGTTGGACAGGGACACTGGGAGCAACAGAGCTGCCCAGGGGTCAGAGACTGGGTGGGCAATCCTGGGCTGATGTCCGTGCCAGCCCGGCCTCCGCACTGGGCATGCCACGGGGGGACTTGTCTGCCCTCCAAACTGGCGCTCCCGAAGAGCCAGGCCCCCAGGGCCAGGGTCTTCACTGAGGGCTGGGCATGGGGGGACATGCGGGTAGAGGGAATGTTGTGCATCCTGGTGTTGGGCAGGGGAGGGGATGGGGTGCTGTGGGCTGGAAGGGGGCTGATGGCAGATGGACATGAGCGCCTGTCTGTGGCCAGCTGACAGCGGCATGAATGATGACTGGGGCCCCCACGCGGTCCCCAGCGTCGTCCAGAGCTGCATGTCCGAGGAGGGTGGCTCCATTCACACCCATACCTGCTCATCATTTACAGACACACCCAAGCCCCACTGGGAGCCACCCTGTGCCCTGGATCCTGAGAGGAGCACGGTGGAACTTCACAGACTCAGAGCCGAGAGACGTCACTGACAGGTGGGGAAACTGAGGCCTGAGTGGGTCAGCACCTTCCCCAAGGCACCACACAGGACACATCCCAGGGCTCCAGTCCCTGCCCCTCTGCTCCCATAGGCCCAGTCCTACAGCCAGGGCGCCAGGTGGCACCTTTAAATAGCACCTGGGTGAAGACAAGGTGACAGGCCTGGCCCAGTGTAGTGCTGGAGGGGTAACCGGTCTGGCCAGAAGCTGGGATGCCTTCCTGGTGGCTCTGGGGATTCCCTGATCCTTCTTCCTGGTCCCAGGAGGGCCATGTATGGGGTGTGCCCGAGCCACAGGACCCCAGGACTGAGATGGGAGAGGGTGTCCCCACACTCGGAGCCCTGAGGCCAGCACCTGAGGGATCCTGCATATTTGTGTCACCTCCCCCAGCCTCAGTGCCGCCTCAGGAAAATGGGCCAGGAAGAGAAGCCTGGAAGGATGGAATGAGGTAATCCACAGCCTCGCTGGGCAGAGGGCGCCGCGATGCACAAACTTGGAATAACATCCTGATTCCCACAGCCAGAAACTCAGTCTTCCTGGAGTGCCCCCACCCTGCCCCCCAGGAGGACAATCTTCAGGGCTCTGTGTGATGGGGGTGGGACCCACGCCCAGGAAGCTGTCCTGCCCCGGGTGTTGTTGGAGTTTAATAACAGCTTCATTGAAATATAATTCACATACCACACAGTTCACCTATGGAGGTATACAACTCAAGTGTTTTCAGTACAGGGTTGTCCGCCATCACCTCTCTCTGGTTCCAGAACATTCCATCGCCCGAAAGGAAACCCCATCCCATCAGCCGTCTCTCCCGATCTCCCCCTCCCCAACTCCTGGCCCCCACGAGCCCCCTTCCCGTCCGTGGATGAGCCTGTTCCGGACGTGTCACCCACGTGGACTCACACCCCGCGTGGCCTTCTGTGTCTGGTTCCCTCCCTGAGCGTCGTGGGCTCGGGGTCCGTCCCCGGGGCCGTGCGTGTGGGCGCCTGGCTCCTGTCCGCGGCTGCGGGACACTCCTGTGCGTGGTGGACGCGTGGTCTGTATCATTTATGTATCGACAGAGACTTGGTTGTTTCTACCTTTTGGCTGCTATGGATTGTGTTGCCCTGGACTTGGGTGTACAGGTTTTTATGTGGACGTGTTTTCATTTCTCTTGTGTATATGAATAGGAGTAGAACTGCTGGGTCATATGATAATTCTATGTTTCGCTTTTTGAGGAACTGCCAGACTGCTTCCCACCGCGGCTGTCCCATCCGCATCCCACCAGCAGTACGTCAGGGTTCCGATTTCTGCACGTCCTCCAGACGCTGGTGATCGCCAGTGTTTTGGCTACAGCCATCTTAATGGGGGCAAAGTGGTGTCTCATTGCGGTGTTTTAAGACTTCAAGCCTGTAAGAACAGCACTGTGAGCACCCTATTCCTGCGTTCCCCGATTCTATATATTCTTTTGCTCTCCATCAGCAGGAGGATGGGTAAATACACCGTAGCAAATTCCCACCAGGGAATTCTGTGTCCAGGAACCAACAATGTGGACGAGTCTCAGACAGGATGCTGAGTAGAAGCAGCTTGACACAGAGGAGGTCCATTTATGTCACAGTCTACGATGGGCAAAACCAACTACGCCGGTGTGAGGCGTCAGGATGGGCGTATCACCCTGGGGGCCAGCGATGAGAGGTGTGAGGGGGTGTCAGGGGCTGGGCATTTTTTTGGGAACACCTGTGTGCAGATTTGTGAAAATTGAGCTGTATTCCTGACGTGTGCACTGCTGACATCATACCTCGAAAAATGCACCAGGTAATCTTTTTATGTAAGCGGATATCTGAGAATAAGCCGCAGAGATGGTACCACTTCACCTCTAAACACGTGGACATATTTCCTGCAGGCAAGGTCTTCGGTCATATCCAAGCTGCGATCCAATCCACCATCCATGGTCAGGCGGCCCTGCTGTCCCCACAGAGCCCTACAATAGCTTTTTCCGCTTGTCACAAACCCAGGGTAGTCTCTGATCAGCTGAATAACGGCCCCCAAAGATATGTCCACATTCTCATCTCAGGAACCTGTGAATTTTACCTTGTTGGGAGGCTTGGTAGATACAATTAAATTCAGATCATCGGATGAGGAAACCATCCTAGTAGGGCCCCAGGTAATGTCACACGTGTCCTTATAAGAGAGAAACACAGGGAAATTTGCCACGTGACCACGGAGGTGGAGCTCGGACAGGGCGCAGCTCCACGCCGAGGGACGCCTGGAGCCCGCAGAAACTGGAGGCGGCAGGAACGACCCTCCGCCTGGAGCTTCCGGTGGGAGTGCAGCCCTGCAACCCCTTGATTTCAGCCCACGGATACTGACACTGGGTGACCATCGGGTTGGTCTCCAGAAATGTAAGAACACATTTCTGTTGTTGGAGGTATGAGGTGTGTGGCAATTCATTTTTTTTTTTAAGATGTATTTATTTATTTTTAGAGAGAAAGAGAGAGAGAGTGAGCGAGCAGGGGGAGGAGACAGAGAATCTCAAGCAGACTCCCCGCTGAGCGTGGAGCCCCAACGCAGGGCTCGGCCCACGACCCTGAGATCATGACGTGAGCGGAAACCGACTGTGCCACCCAGGCCCCCTGGTCTGTGGTAACTGACTACCTAGGCAATCCCTAGAATCCGGTATCCTCGCCTTCCATCTAGAGATCCTTGCCTTTCTCGACATGGGCACAGCCCAGGTTCATGTGAACGTCTCAGGGCAAGAATCGGACAAAACATTTTGGGTGAGAACCCGACATAAGCAAACAGTTTCTGAAACACGGGTGTCGCCCAAACTCCAACCTCTGGTGCTGTGTTTCCCATTTAATCACACCTCTGTCCACCAGTCTGGTGTGTTATTCCCATTTTCCTTGCTTACGTTTTACAAGGAAACTTGATCTCACCATCAGGAGTGGAAAACCAGAGCCACACACTGACAGGATGACAATAAGCCATAACAGGAAACGCTGCGAGGAGAGAGCCACGTGACAGATCCTCAGATGGACAGCAGTGCAGCCAGAGAGCTGAGGTTGGCGGGTATGGAGTGAGACCTTCCGTGTTCGAGCAGAAGCAGAAAGAATAACTTTCTCACTGCGAAGTTCCTGGAACCCGGCTCTTGGGGAAATACTGGTTGAGGGCATCTATTCCCAAGGAAAGGAAGAGGGAACGGAGGCACAAGGAACTCCAAAGTGTTGCCTTCCATCCCAGGTTCCTGGCTCTGCCAGGCTACAAGGGTTTGAGGGGGTGTCTCTAGGTCTTGAGAGACCAGGTCCAACTGATTCAGCCCCCAGGGCCAGGAAGGCACTCCCAGGTGTGAGTCAGATCTGAAGTCGAGGCCCCCAGGGCAGCTTGGAGTGGGCTGGGGCAGGTTTGAGAGGACGCTGCAGTCTGTTGAAAACATTCCCAGCCGGTGGAATCATAATGCACAGGCCCGCGTGGGCAGCTGCGTCTGGAATGTGCTGTCAAGAAGCCTCCAGGCCCAGGAGGCTGGCCCTTCCAGAGCACAGGTCCAGCTTCCACTCTGGGCTAATGGGGTAACCAAGTTGGAGTATCTGAGGGCAGGTGGCAGCTTGAGCCCAGGCCCCTAAGGCCCGCTGTGGTCTGGCCCAAGAGCCCCTCTAGCTTTGTCTCTGCTTCCTCTCCCTAACTCCAGCTCTGCTCAAGGTCCTCCAGCTATCCACCCTTGACTCTGCCGCAGGGCCTTTGCACTTGCTGTGAACGCTGCCTGGAACACAGTTACTCCTGATATTTTTCTTCTCGTCCTTCCCATGCCTGCAGATGCGCCCCTCCCTCGGCCTCAGTTTCCCCAGTGCCTTCCAGGTCTGACTCTAACGCCGGAGTGGGGTCACGCTGAAGACCAGGGCTGGGAACCTCCAGGCTCCAGGGATTTCTCATTCCATTTGTCATCCAATCAATTCAGTAGGTTCGTGTGCTCTAGGCGCCCGCTCTGCTCCTGTCCTTGGGAGCCTGAGAGCTGACTAGTGGGGAAACTGAGACCGGAGGGCGTGGCCGAGGGAGATGTCCCGGAAAGGCGACGGCCCAACTGTCCCTGGTTTTGGGGCACGGCGGTCTCCCTAATGTTGGGGATCGACATCTCCCGACCTCGGCTTCCTCCGCGATACATAGCTCCCGCCCCAAAGTCGACGTTGGAGCAGTGAAAATCCGCTAAATTGCAGAACGTCGTCCTAAGTATTTGGCGACCATTCCTTTAAGAAAAAAACAAACTTGGCTTCCTGCTCCTCCCAAAGAGGGCTTAGAGTCACGCGGGTTACCCAAGCAACGGCTCTGTCCCGCCCCTCCTTGACAGCGGGAAGAGCCAATTAGAGGGCTCCTTCGGCGCATGCCTCCGAGCCTCCGGGGCCCCGCTGCTCTCTGGGAATTGTGGTTTCGGCGGCCTCCTCCCGCCGCGAGGTCCCTTCGAAGCCGCCGTAGGCTGCGGAACTACAACTCCCGGCAGGTGCGGGCGGCGCAGGCGCAGTGCGGGCGGCGCAGCGGGCGGCGAGCGGCATGTCGGCGCTGCGCTGGGGCCACGGCGCGTCCGGTCTCCGGAGGGCCCTGTGGCCGGCGGGCCGGCCCGGCCCCCTGGCGGAGGAAGGTAACGCGGCGGAGGCCCGGGGTAGACGCCGCGGCCGCTGCCCGCTGTCCCCGCGGCCGTGACCTTCGTCTTCTAGGCCGTCAGATGCAGCCGCCCCCTCCCTTGGCCCTTGCCCTGTGGGGTTCTGGTTTTGGGGAACCCACTGACTGGACCCCGCTTTCGCTCGCCCGTGGGCCGGTCTGCGGACGGGGGCCGGCAGAGCACTCTGACGCCGGAGTCCTGGTTTCCTTTGGAGTCCCCTGAACCCTTATTTGAGATTTAGGGTCTTTGACCTTTGAACTCACTACACCTTTAGTTCGAGGAAGCCGGTATCTTCGGTCCCACAGCCAGTTTTTCCTTGCTCTGAGGTCCCCTTCACCCTTGACCTCTTGGTTCCTTTCCAGGGTGAGGCCCGTGACCACTGACAGTTTCCACTGAGCGTAGGGCTCTTTCGCCCCGGATCCTGCTGTTTCCGCTCATTGGAGGACCTCCCACCCCCTAGGCGCGGGCCTCCTTCTGCCTCCCGCAGCCTCCCTTTGTCACCCACAGGGGCTCTCAGTGGCGCCTGGGGCCGCAGAAGGAGCTCCTCTGCCAACCCCTGTGAGCAAGACCGCCGGAAGGACTGGGGCCACGCGGAGCTGCTGGAGGGTGAGTCCAGACCCCCGGGGCTTGGCGCCTGGAGCCCCGCTCCCCGCTGCCCCCTGCAGGGTGTCTGCTGTAGAGCAGGGTACCGCGAGGACGACGGCGGGAGGCTCGGGCAGTGTTTACCCCTTCCGCAAACCCGGCAGGCGCTCCTGCTGTCCCCGTGAGACAGTTGAGGCTGGAGAGGCTGGGCCAGGGCCACATGCAGCTGCTCAGGCACAGCCGGGATTCGAACCCTGAACTGACTCGTGTCTGGGCTTGGGCACCTGAAGGGGCCTAGTAGGGGTCCTCCCCTTTCCATAACCTGGGAAGGACAGCTCAGTCCGAGCACCTCCAGAGGGAGGTGGGGGCATGGGGCTTCCAGACCGTGTCCAGCATGTCCCGCTTCCCCGCCAGCACCCAGGGGTGGGGTGGGGTAGCCTGTAAAAAGGAGAACTTTATTTCAGGAAATTCCAAACATACAGAAGCGAAGTACCACCATCCTCAACAGCAGCCGTTCCTTTCTTACCCACCACTTAATTATTTTAAAGCAAAGCCCAGAAGATACTTATTTTTTTTATTTTTTTTTTAAAGATTTTATTTATTTGACAGAGAGAGACACAGCGAGAGAGGGAACACAAGCAGGGGGAGCGGGAGAGGGAGAAGCAGGCTTCCCGCGGAGCAGGGAGCCCGACGCGGGGCTCGATCCCAGGACCCTGGGACCATGACCCGAGCCGAAGGCAGACGCTTAACGACTGAGCCCCCCAGGCGCCCCAAAGCCCAGATGTTATTATCATTCAACTGTAAGAAGGTGCTGGAAGTCTGAATCACATTATGTCACTCTCCAGTCTAAAACTCTCCAACTGTTTCCTCTCGCATAGAATAGACACCCCCCCCCCAGCTGAGGACACAGATCCCTGTGGCCTTTGCCTGCCTTTTCAGCCAGAAGGAGCTGTGGCCGCCAGGTCAGCTCTGATGTTGCCGCCTCCGGGAGAAAAACCTGTGCCCACAGCCCTGCTCCAGGGTATGGTCTTTGATGTGTGTATTCCAAAACACGTGTCCTGGGTGTTGGTGCACTCCAGGGGCCAAGGTCACCCTGTCTTTCCACTTTATTTCAGCAAATTTTTGTTGAGCCCCTGCTGTGTGAGGCCAGTTCTCAAGTCCGCTGAAGTCCAGTGGGAGGGGCGTGGGCAGGTACAGTCGGTCCGCAGTTGTATTTGCAAAGTTGACTCGTAACCTGGTACCTGAAATCAGTGCTCAGGTACTCTAGTAGTTACCTGTAGACGCACGCAGAGCAGCAGACGACGTTTGAGTGGTTGGACGTGCCCACCCCCAGTGGTGTTGAACCGGGTGCCACACTGTTCTCTTGTTTCATGCATACTGTAAACAACTGTCCTTCCCGAGGTGTGTTCGGTGCCGCGCTGTTGTTTTTAATTTAGATCTGAATTTGTTTTTTAGAGGGAGAGCGTGGGAATGGGGCGGGGCGGGGCAGGGGAAGAGGGTTAGGGTCTCAAGCAGACTCCGTGCTGAGCGCCAGAGCCCTACCACACGGGCGGGGCTCGATCTCACGACCCTGAGATCATGACCTGAGCTGAAATCAAGACTTGGACTCTCAACTTACTGAGCCACCCGGGCGCCCGGTTTTTGCATTTTTGTGCTTTTGTTGGTGATTTTGCTGTTTAAAATGGCCCCCAAGCGTGGTGGTGCTTTCTAGTGTTCTAAGCCCAAGAAGGCTGCGAGGTGCCTTTTGGAGAAAATATGCGGCTGTGCAGGAGTGAGTTACAGTGTTGTCGGCTGTGGGTTCGGCATTAATCAATCGACATGTATGAGAAATAAGGCATTTCAAGCAGAAAGACAGAACAAGGTCGTGTGTTGATCTGGGGACCCCCATGATCTGTAAAGTCATCGTGGCACAAGGCTAGCCACAGAACCACAGCTCTGCAGAAAACTCAGGGTCACCTTGTCCCCGACCACATAGCCATACCCATCAGGAACAGCATGTGCAAAGGCCCTGAGGCCATTGTGGCTGCCCAGAGTGATCAATGTGGGGGAGAGTGGGAGGAGGTGAGAGCAGGGGGCATCCAGGCACCTGGATAGATTTTGAAGGCAGAGGTACACCCCTGAGGGTGTGCTGATAGCCTGGATGTGGAGGGAGAGAGGCCTAGATGACCCTGGGGTTTCTGGCTGAGCACGTGCAAGGACAGCACTGCCAGTGACAGACGTGGAGGAGCAGGTTTTGGGGGGACACCAGGAGCTTGTTGGGGAAGTTGAGTTTGAGAGGCTCAGACAGATGCTGATCAGGTTGGTAGGGTGTGTGTGCCTGAAAATCGGGGGACACGAGGGAGTTGTCATCAAATACATAAAGCTGAAGCCTCAAGAGCTGGTGAGACCAGCCGCCCCCCCCCCCGCCCCGCCAGCACAGCAGGGGCGGGGGAGATTGGGGCTTGAATGGAGACCCCCACCCCCCGACATCCTTGCCCTTTGCCCCCACAGTGCTTGAGGCGCGGGTGCGGCAGCTGCAGGCCGAGTGTGTGTCAGAGGTAACGGTGAAGAGGGTCGGCATGGCTCGACGACTCCCAGCATCTGGCGGCTTCCAGCCACCCGGGAAGGCCCAGACGGGGCCCGAGGACATTGCTGCGGAGCTCAGTGGCCGCTGGGCCCAGAAACTGGACAAGGAGAAGTTTGCGATGCAGAAGCGCAAGCAGCGGCTGGAGGTGAAGCTGCAGGTGCGAGCCCAGCAGCTGGCTTGTGAGCACAGGCTGCGGGTGGTACCCCGCCTGCTGGACGCCCAGCTGGCCAGCTGCCTGCCGCACTGGGAGCACGGGGCCCCCCAGAGCGACTGGGAAGAGCGGCTGACGCGGCTGCTGCAGGAGGCCCCGCGGAAGCTGAGCCATGAGGCCGAGCAGGCCCCCAAAGCTGAGAGCGCCTCTGTGCGGCGGGAGATCCAGCAGCAGAGGCTCCTGGCCTTCTTTGAGTGCTGCCTGCTCACGGGCCACCTGCCTCTCGCCCACCACGTGCTGGTCACCTTCCACAGCCGGTCCCGGCAGCAGCGGCGGCTCACGCTAGCCATGTACAACACCGTCATGCTCGGCTGGGCTCGCAAGGTGAGCGGCGGCCCCGGACGGGGGGCGTCCTGGCGGGAGTCAAGGCCCGAGTGGCGCTTAGGTGCCAGCCCTGGTCTTGCTGCGTGTTACCATTTCAGCGATTCTCTCAGGCTTGTCAAGCGTAAATCACGTGTGTTCCTCAGCGGAAATTTTGCAAACAACCAAGAAAGAAGGAAGAAATGCTGCTAACGTTTTAGCGTTTCTCCTTCTGACTCCTCGGCTGGGGCTTCCGTACCTTCTGGCGTCCCCCCTTCCTCGACACCGTGACTTTGATGCTTTAGTTTCCTGGGGGGGAGGGTTAGGTTTTTTGTCGCGATCCTTCTGTCTTAAACACAGGCGTTCGTGGCCGCAAGCTTCCCTCTGGGCTCTGCTTTAGCTGCGTCCCGTGTCTTTCCAAGTTTTCTTAATTTCCCCTGCGGTGTCGTCTTTTCTGATTGTTGGGGACAGTGTTACGTCCGTGTGCTTGTGAGGGGCCAACTGCCCTGCCTTCTCCCTCCCCTGCACCTGCAGCCCTATTTCAGGGCCAGCAGGAACCATGCAGGTCTGCGAAGGAGAGGGTTGTGTGAAGACCTAGGTGTGGGCACAGGAGGGTGGGCTCGTGGTGGGGACCGCCCCGCACGGACTGGGCGACAGGCCCAGGAGCCACCGTCCCTTGTACATCTGCGTTGGACTATGACGTGACGCGATGTGAGGCGGAGATGGCCCGTGTGCACGGGTGGCTGTCACAGGCAGTTTCTTGCCCGCACTCATCCCTGGGAGGTGTGCTAGATTTAGGGAGTTAGTGAAGACAGAAGGGCCATGTTCTCCCATCCAAGGTCACAAGGCCTCCAGGTCCCCCAGCAAAGATCCCTGTTACAGCGGGACATTCCTGCCAGGAGCCCACGCGTGAGCTTCCTGCGGTCCTTGGGGCAAATGACAGGCATCGGGGCGGCTTCAAGTGCTAGGGATTTACTTTCAGTCCCAGATCCAAGTGTGGCGGGGGCCGCGCCCACTGTGCAGGGTCGTTCCTGCCTCTCCCAGCTCCCCGGGGGTGCCTGCCATCCTTGGCCTGTGGCCGCGTCCCTCCATCTGCCTCCGTGGTCACACGGACACCTTACCGATGAGACACTCTCCTGCAGATGGCCTCATCTTGACTCGTTACGTTGGCAAAGATCCTGTTTCCCAGTAGACCCGCTATTCTGAGGGTCTGGGTAGATGTGAATTTGGGGGTGTCACTCGTCAGCCCACTCCAGGCCCCGTTCTTCTGTATCGTGCACGGACTTAACGGCCATCATTGGCTTCGCAAGTCATTGCTTCTGGGCGGCGCGTGTATGTGGTGGGGCTTGGCTGTCACCCAGACCCAAGTTTGAGTCCTGTTTCTGCCATGTGCCCACTGTGAGGCCCGCACTGCTCACTCCTCTCTGAGCCTTGGTTTCCCCATCTGTAAAGCAGGGAATGCTGCTTGACTCTTGGGAAGACTGAGGGACCTGATTCAGGTCTTTGACCAGCATCTGTGTTTAGGACGAGGGCCAGAGAACGCGTGAACTTTAGAAGCGTGTGTTTTCGTGTTGATGGCACTACCGAAGATTCTGCCCATGTGGGATGGATGTGTTCATTCGAGACTGGCGCTGTCTGGTAGATCTTTCTTGTCTGCACCAGCCGTGTGCGGCCCCTTGTAGAGCTGAACATCCACAGAGCGACCTCGCGTGGCTGGTGACCACGAGGAGGGCAGCCCATGCAGGGTCGTTGAGACTAGCCCCCAGAGCCCTCTTGCCGGTGCTGTGGTCCCTGCCGCGACAGCAGGCCTCGGATGAGGGCCGCAGGACCGCAGGTGGGGAGCTCTGGAGCCTCGCTTTCTTGAGAGGCTCCGCGGCAGCGCGCCTAAACCGCGGCACGTGCGAGGGAATTGGCCACTTCTCAGGCGTGAATGGAGATGGGAAGGCGGCACGGCACCTGCTGGTCTGAGAGCCACAGCGGCCGCATGAGACGGGGACGTGCTGAGCCCCAAGCAGGCGGACCAAGAGAGAACGGAAAACCGCCGGACGCAGAGCGGGTTCTCTGCAGATCCCACCCGAGAGCCTCTTGTAGCGGGGCTGGGCTCGTGCACGTCCACGAGATAAAAGTGTTACCACGGCTCCCCTCAGGAGCCCAGGCCCTCGCCCCGACCCTGCCGCGGTGTCACTGCACGGGGGGCGCACGGACACGTCCTGGCCAGCGAGCCTTTCCCTGCCTGACCTACTGGCCACAGAGAGAGGTCTCGAGGGGCAGGCCGGCCACCCCCAGACCCTCACCCCAACTTTGTCTCCCCAGGGCTCCTTCAGAGAGCTGGTTTACGTGTTCTTCATGGTGAAGGATGCTGGCCTCACCCCAGACCTGTTCTCCTACGCGGCCGCCCTGCAGTGCATGGGACGGCTGGGCCAGAATGCCGACGCCATCCAGAGGTGGGTGGGCCGCCTGGCCCTTGTGGGGGCTAGACCCCTCCCCCGGGCCCCTCCGGCCACCTGGCGCTGAGACCCATCCCTTGGGTGGGTCTGTGCCTGCCGTGTGCCCCCCGCAGGTGTCTGGACCAGATGGCCCGGGACGGGCTGAAGCTGCAGGGGCTGTTTACCAGCATGCCACTGTGCCAGGAGGAGCAGGCCATGGTCCTGAGGGCTGTGCGCAAGGCCCAGCCCACCTTCAGCCTGCCGCCGCCACCGCGGCCCCCACCCCAGGTCAACACCTCACCACTGCTCAGGGAGATCTACGCCAAGGTGAGCGGGCCCTGACACCCACAGGCGGGGGGGCCGTGTCGTGTGGGGGACGAGCTGGGACCACCCTGCCCTGTGGGGTCTCCCGGGCCTCGGCACCTCCTTTTCTTTCTCATCGCCACGCGCCTCCTAGGGACGCCCTCCCTGCTCCTCAGAGGCCAGACAAGCCAGTCTTGGCTCCCAGCGGGGCCCTGACTCTAAAGAAAGGTGCCACGGCTGGGCTGGTGTTAGTCTCCCACCCGGAGGAACAATTCCAGGCAGAGCCGGCAGTCAGTGCCCTGAGCCCGGGCAGCCTAGAGCTGCAGGTGGGCAGAGGGGCTCCGTCCGTTCTGGGGGTCCTGAGTCCCCCTGCCCCGTGCGGGCCTCTTCGTGATTCTCCGTGTGTCGGGTTGGGCTGTTTTAAGTGATCTGTTTTTGGACGGGTCACGCATTCACACAGTTCCAAGTTTAAAGAGAAAAGACACATGCAGGGACTTGAACCGTGTCTCCCCAGGTTGTCCTGGCCCCTGCCCAGTGAGGCCGGCCAGTGCTGGGCACTCGGACCAGCGTGGCTGTCACAGGCTGCTTTGCATCGCGTCCTGCCAGCCTCGTGGACGGGCGGTTTTCCCGTGTGGCCTTGCTGGGGCCGACGGGGGGTGGGGGGTCGTGGAAGGGCAGGGGGACCAGCCGCTCTGGGCTTCACTGCCTGCCTGTCCACACCAGCAGAGCGGCCCCGTGTCGTACCCGAAGCTGCACCTGCCCCTGCAGAAGCTACAGAGCCTCTTCCAGCAGCAGTTGGGCGTGGAGATGGCCACCACCGTGGCCGTGGAATCCGTGGAGAAGGCCCGGGTGCTGACCAAGGAGGTCCTGCAGGCGGTGAGGAACACGGCTGGATCACACCCCCGGTCTGGGGGCGGTGGGGGGGGGCGGGCAGCTACTGCGGCCCCGTCGCTGGCCTCCCTAGAGCCAGTGTAGGCCGTGTGCCCCCCTGGCACCACAGGAAGTGTGCGAGGCGGCCCCAAGGGCCTGGAGGGCGTGATGGTGATGCCTACTCCCGTGCCCCGCAGCGGAACACCCTGAAGCAGCTGCGTGCCGAGTGGGTGCAGGCGCTGAGCTTGGGGCTGCAGGAGCTGAAGGCCAGCGAGGCCCGCGCCGCCCGTGCCGGCCGCTCCACCATCTTCCCGTACCTGTGTGTGCTCACCGAGGAGGAGCTCGCCGAGCTGCTGCTGCAGGTGGGGCCTGGGGGGCAGCGGGGGGCGGGGGGCACGCGGGGGGGGCAGGGGGCCCGGGGCTCACGGTGCCGCCCCCAGACCTTGCAGGTGCTGCCCCCGCAGGGAGAGTCGCTGCTCTCCCTGGCACAGCAGCTGGGCCTGCGCGTCTTCAACCGGCACACGGTGCACAGGAAGCAGCTGAGCAGCCAGGTGCAGGCACTCCAGCAGCGTTACCACCGCTACCTGCACCTGCTGGCCTCCGACACCCAGGTGAGGCCCGGGATCGGGGGCCCTGCGGGCAGGGGGCGCGGGGGCATTTCCAGGTGCAGAGACCGAGGCCTGGAGCGCAGCTGGCTTTGCCCCCAGGCCCTGCCACTTTGCAACTGGCTCCCGCCCGCGGGGTGGCGGGGGTTGGTCGGCTCTGGGCTCAGACCCCCCCCCCCCCCACCCCCCCTGACCCACTCTCGCACCCCCAGGTGGAGAAGCCCCACCTGCCACGGCAGTACTGGGAGGCGCTGGGGGCGCCTGAGGCCCCCCACGAGCAGCCCTGGCCCTTGCCCGTGCTGGTGCAGCTGGGCAAGAAGCTTGCCGAGCTGCTGGTGGAGGCCGTGCGGATGCCCGGCAGTGTGGCCGCCCCGCAGGGCCCCTGCACGCTCATCCCCGTGCTCTACCACGTGTACTCCTTCCGCAGCTTCCGCCAGGTGGGCCGCTTTGGGAGGCCTTGGGCCCCTGAGAGATGAGGCTGGGGGCTCCGGGTGGTGTGGGGACTGCCGGGCCCCGGTGGGGTCTTCTGCCCGCTCGCTGTGTGTCGTCTGGGGTGATCGGCCCCTGAAGCCATCTTTGCCTGCCTCACCCCCAGATCGGGATCCTGAAGCCACACCCTGCCTTCACGGAGCTTCTGGCGACGGCCGCAGAGCGCACGCTGACCTTTGAAGCGGCCGAGGTGCCCATGTTGTGCCCGCCGCTCCCCTGGACGTCGCCGCACACGGGTGCCTTCCTGCTGAGCCCCACCAAGCTCATGCGCTCGCTGGAGGGCACCATGCAGCACCAGCGCCTGCTGGACAGCTGCCCCCCTGCCGAGCTGCACGGTGCCCTGGACGCCCTCACACAGCTGGGCAACTGCGCCTGGCGGGTCAACGGGCGCGTGCTGGACCTGGTCCTGGAGCTCTTCACCGCCAAGGGCTGCCCGCGCCTGGGTGTGCCGGCCCCGCCCTCCGAGGCACCCCGGCCGCCCGAGGGCCGCCTGCCGCCCGGCGCCTCACCCACCCACAAGGCCAAGGTGCGGCGGGAGCTGGCCCGCTGCCTGAAGGTGGCGCGGGAGATGCACAGCCTGCGCTCGGACGCCCTGTACCGCCTCTCGCTGGCCCAGCACCTCCGGCACCGTGTCTTCTGGCTGCCTCACAACATGGATTTCCGCGGCCGCACCTACCCCTGCCCGCCCCACTTCAACCACCTGGGCAGCGACCTGGCGCGGGCCCTGCTGGAGTTTGCCCAGGGCCGTCCGCTTGGCCGCCACGGCCTTGACTGGCTCAAGATCCACCTGGTCAACCTCACTGGGCTCAAGAAGCACGAGCCGCTGCAGGCACGCCTGGTCTTCGCCAACGAGATGATGGAGGACATCCTGGATTCTGCCGACCGGCCCATGACGGTAGGGGCGCGGAGGGCGCTGGCCGGGGCCCTGGTGCCTCGCCTGTCCATCTCCCCCAGCCTGTGCCCGGCACCGGCTACCCCGGCCCCCCCCCCCCCCCCCCCCCCCCCCGTCTGCCCCTGGGCACAGGCTCCTGGCCTCACCCTCACTGCCCCCCGCCCTCTGCGGCCTTGCTCCCTCCCAGCCCAGGCCGACCCTTCCTCCAGACCCTTCCCCATGCCACGGCTGGGCCCGGGGCTCACGCGCAGGGCTGCTTGCACAGGGCTGCTCCCACGTCGCCCTGCCTGCCCATCGCTCCTGTCGCCCCCCCACCCCTGCCGTCCCGGGGGGGCTCTGTCCCAGCCCCAGCCAGGCTGGCCTGAGCCCCACTCTGCCCCCTCCCCACAGGGCCGGAAGTGGTGGATGGAGGTGGATGAGCCCTGGCAGGCCCTGGCTTGCTGCATGGAGATTGCTCGGGCCGTGCGCGCCCCCGACCCTGCCGCTTACGTCTCTCACTTTCCAGTTCACCAGGTGAGCTGCTGGGGACCCCGGTGTGGGGTGTGCCTGGCCCTCGGGGGGCTGGGCCGGAGGTGGTGGGGGCACGTAGTCCCTGTAGATCCTACTTTGAGTTCGGCCGGTGTCCCTGCGTGGGGACCAGCGCCATGGGTGCGGCCAGCCTTGTGTTCTTGTATGGGCACGGTCCGTGCCTCTCAGCGCTGGCGGTTGAGCGGCGCACTGGGGGACCCTGCAGCAGCGGCTCGTTCTCTGGGGTCACTCTCCCGTCTTCCTCAGGACGGCTCCTGTAACGGCCTGCAGCACTATGCCGCCCTGGGCCGGGACAGCGTGGGGGCCGCCTCCGTCAACCTGCTGCCCTCTGACCTGCCACAGGATGTATACAGTGGGGTGGCTGCGCAGGTGGGTGCTACAGTCCCCTGACCCCCGTTCTCCTTCTCAGCCCACGCGGGGTCTCCATCCTGTGAACGCCTGGATGTGCAGATCCCGTGGGCTCTGTCCTCTGTGACGGACCGGGCAGTCAGGGTGGTCTTCCCGGGGGAGGTGTCAGAAGAGGGAACTGGGGAGGCCTCATGGTGGGGCTGCTGGGTTGGGTGGGAGACAGGTTCCACGCACCTGCCCGCTGACCCCCAGCGCCTGCCCAGGTGGAGGTGTTCCGCAGGCAGGACGCTGAACGGGGCGTGCGGGTAGCCCAGGTGCTCGAGGGCTTCATCAGCCGCAAGGTGGTCAAGCAGACGGTGATGACTGTGGTGTATGGGGTCACCCGCTACGGGGGCCGCCTGCAGATCGAGAAGCGCCTGCGGGAGCTCAGCAACTTCCCCCAGGTGCACGGCGTCGTGCGTGCCAGCTTTACCTGCGCCACACGGGGGGGATGCCCCCCGGCCCCCGACCGCGCCCCCTTCCCCCCGACCATCGGCTGCTGGGGGGCCCCTGAGGGACCCCGAGGAGGAAGGCGGTTCTGCCGCTCCTCCGGGTGCCTGGGCGGGGATGGGGAGGGCTGGCTGCCCTGGCTCTGACTGCCACCTCGCACCACTGCAGGAGTTCGTGTGGGAGGCCTCTCACTACCTGGTGCGCCAGGTGTTCAACAGCCTCCAGGAGATGTTCTCGGGCACTCGGGCCATCCAGGTGTGTCCTCTCTCCCTTCCCCAGGCCCAGCAGGCTGCCCCTGACCGGGCCCTGCCCTGAGCCCCATGCCCTGCGTCCACAGCACTGGCTGACGGAGAGCGCCCGGCTCATCGCCCACACGGGCTCGGCTGTGGAATGGGTCACACCCCTGGGCATCCCCATCATCCAGCCCTACCACCAGGACTCCAAGGTGTTGGTATGTGTGGCCCCACCCCACCGCCCCCACGCTGTGTCACGGTGGGACTCTTGACCCTCCTCACCCCAACCCTGCAGATCAGCGGTGGCATCCAGAGCCTCACCTTCAGCCAGAGTGGGGACACCAGCCAGTGAGTGCCGGTGGGGGTGCTGGGCCAGGCGGGGGGCATGCCTGGGCCGAGGGAGGGCATATGGGCCAGGGGCTGCCCCCAGGTCAGGCCAGGGTGGAGGCACCTGAGTCCTTCCTCCTCCCCAGGAAGCCTAACACACTGAAGCAGAAGAATGGCTTCCCCCCCAACTTCATCCACTCGCTGGATTCTTCGCATATGATGCTCACAGCTCTGCACTGCTACAGGTGGGCCGGGCACAGTCCACCCAGCTCTGTTCGTCATCTCTTGCATGCAGGCCCTGTTCAGGGTGTTCGGGACGCACAGGGGACCCAGAGAGTGGCAAAGGCGGGTTGGGAGGCCAGGTCAGACAGGGTCAGGGGGCCAGGGCAGAGGCCTACAGCAGGTGAGGACCCCAGCCCTGTGGGTTGTTGGAACTGCTGCCCAGAAAAGGACTATGTGAGCACGTGCAAAGGCCCTGAGGTGTGCGTGGTGGCGAAGCAGCTGGCTGGGCCTGGGAGAGAGGGGTGGTTGCTCTGAGTGAGAAGGGAGTGCCGGCAGCATACCATGTGGCCAGTTCTGATAGAACTTGGGCCGAGGGTGGGGGTGGGGGTGGGGGGTGGGGCGGCTAGGTGTCTGGATTTCTGTTCTGAGCCCCTGAGGGGCCCCTAAGCATGGCAGTAGGGCATGGATAGTTCTTTTAGAGAGGAGCCAGGGTTCAGGGACGTGTTCTGTGTCCACCCCCTGTGGGGGAGGGGGGGCAGTATCAGCTGCAGCAACTGGGGGCAGGGGTGTGGGGAATGACATGAGACAAAGAGCTTTCTTCCTAAGAGGAGAACTTTCCATCCATGTGCCGAGCATGACACAGTGGGGGCTGGGAAGGGGCAGGAGCGGGGAGTGCACCACGAAGGGCAGCCCCCCTCACGGGATACCCTCCCCCGATGGCAGGAAAGGCCTGACCTTTGTCTCTGTGCACGACTGCTTCTGGACCCACGCGGCTGACGTGGAGGTCATGAACC